TCTTGTGTTCACTCATGGCTATCGTATTGATCGTGAAATTTTTTTGATTGTCAAAAATTTTTCTACGATTAACACGATTAGATTTTAATCGTTATCATCGCATCAAATCGCATTACATTGTAACTAATCTTAGCTGCATCGAAAATAAGTGCGTCTAATCTGGCTTTCATATCGTGATTATCGGGATCGATCTCGGAAAGGACAAACATCCCGATGATTAGCGATTCGTTGCGATGTCTCACGTCCTGTCACTATCTGTGACGCTCTGCGTGGTCCTACTGCTCACGTGCTGACAGAGTATTTTTCCGCTCAGATACGAGTTGATACGGACATATGAGAGTAAATACCATTAGACACGAGTGTTAACGCTTTGTTGCGGATGTTCACGCTATATTACGAGTACATAACCTTGCAAAAATAACGGGGAAATTAAACGCGTTTCTTTCCCCTATTGAAAAAAGATTTCTGAGTTTAGGAAAAATATTTTAAAGATGCCATTTAAAATAAGCACGAAAAAGGAAAGAGGAGGGAGATCCTATCTCCATCTGAACTTGAACTTGATAAAATAAGAAAACACTTATACTGCTGCTTTTATTCTACTTCGACAGCAATACAAAATAAACATAGTTACACTACAAACACTACGTTCATGACGTTGTCATCAACCTCAACTTCTTCCATTATTATTCATTGTATGTTTACATTTCAATAGATAAAAATATAATGGACTCAGTATAGCCAGATTTTTATACGTATGTCGGGGTACAATCGTTGCTCAAAGCGTGTTCTATCTTGCTCCTGATCGTCAAAGACATTGCAATGAACGTGTTATTCTGTCGCACATTAGCGCAAGAATGCGCGATGAACGTAATATATCGCAAGGGTATGTATTAAAACGTAGAAGATCGTTTCTAATCGAGAACTCGGATCGTGATATTCGTGACAGATCGAGGTCCTTTTATCAACTAAATCTTTATAATCCTATTGGAACGTAATTCATCATATCTGAACGATAGTCTGATCGTCAGAGATCTCGTCACGTGAAATTTATCCATTGCGAACATAGCGCATAAAAGCATAACGAAACTTATGAAAGCGCTCCTATGCGCATCTCTATGTACCTTGGCCTAAAATTCAATAAATACTCTGCGATCAACTACGATTGATCAGTCGTGACGTGCGTAACTGACCGCAAGACAGTGGGAACTTAGCATAAGTAATTGATTTTGAAAATAAATTTAAAAAGATTCAAACTGGACTCGAACCGGGAACTTTCGCATGCAAAGCGAGAATCCTTCCCATCCGACATCGACGAACTTCACATAGCAAGAAAATGTTGAAAGGACGTTTGATTTTAAAAAAACTGATCATACATTGTATACATGTACCCATCACGTCCAACAATGTACATTGTAAAAATTTGAAATGTCTAGATAAGCCTCTTGTTCACTCAAGCTTCTCAAATTCAAGTCTCTGCTGTTGATAGGACTTTACATGTACAAAAAAGACATTTTTGTCTTACAGGATGTCTCTTTCGCACAGAAAGACATTCAAGAAATTACAAGGTCGGTCGTTCCACTTTCCGTTGTAAGCCATATCGATACAATCCAATGCTTTGTGTGGTACAACGTAATTGTCCGGGTTCATACCGCCCCAGTTCGTGAATCCAATGGCCGTTTTCGAGTGTTCCCAAACAAACACACCTTCTTTTTCCTTATCATTACCCCCAATCCACGAGGTACAATCGTAAGGATCTGTGCAGACTTGATGCAGAAAAAAAGATAATGTCAGATATATGTGGAGAAAACGAAAAAATTTTCAGCTCAAAAAACAATTGAACAATAAAAAAAATAGTAGCGGAGCAAACTCGGATCTCCAAAACAAGATGGGATTAGGCGCCATGGAAAAGTGAGTATCCCCTCGAGACCGGTCACATAATTTATTTGAAGCAAAGTATATCGTTTAAATGTACATATTTGTCAATTTGTATTAAAACAGGAAACATTAGTTTAGTCAAAACTAGCAAATTCTAAATTTAATATTCTATTGATAATAAAAAAAGCTTCAAACAATACACTGAAAGTAGTCAGTACGCAAGCAAACGTATGGCGAACGCTAATTTTTAAATTTCATTCGCTAAACATTAAGTGATATTTATCAAGGTTTGAAGCTATGACCAATATAAAATTTGATGTGAGATACTAGTATACAGGTTACTCTTGATGGTTCGAACTTTGATCTCTCGAAGTTCATGATTTTACGTAAAACACTTACAAACATCTTTAAGACTGTTTTCTGTAATCCAGGTGTTTTCATCCAAGTCGTTGATTTCCACTAGGTAGGAATTATGTGTGTAACATGACTCCTATAATAATTCCAAAATATGTAACATGAGTTCTAAAGCGATATACAATCTGAAATAAACACAAAGGAAACATATACTGATCATCTGCGGATGACAAAGCATTCTATCACTTGTATCATAAACATTAAATATATGGAAATAATATTTCAGCTCCAAATGCTACTGTATTAAAAAAAACCTGAGAATCCAACAAAACCCTGAGGAAGTACTGAGTTGTACTGAGAAAAACCTGAGTGGTACTGAGGCTACTATTGAGAATATGAGGAAGTACTGAGTTGCTCTGAGGTTTTATTGATTGATTGATTGTATACTGTTTAACGTCCCTCTTCAGAATATTTCACTGATATGGAGACGTCACCATTGCAAAGGGCTGCAAATTTAGGCCTATGCTCGGCACTTACGGCCTTTGAGCAGGGAGGGATCTTTATCGTGCCACACCTGCTGTGACACGGGGCCTCGGTTTATACGGTTTCATCCGAAGGACCGCCCCATTTAGTCGCCTTTTACGACAAGCAATGGGGTACTGAGTACCTATTCTAACCCGGATCCCCACGGGACACTGAGGTTTTCAATGTGCATTAAGTTGTGCTACTGAGGTTTTTACTGAGGCTACTGAGGACATACTGAGAGGCACTGAGGTGTTCCAAACACAATAATATGACAACAAGAGGCCCATGGGCCTTATAGGTCACCTGAGCATTATGCAACAACTTTCAAGTGATTGAGTATATAAGTATATAAGTACAGCCCCCCCCCCTCTATGGTACTACTGTCCGTGGGCCTTGAAATTCACAATTCTGGAAGATTAGGGCCCTTGCTCATAGCTAAATAGGTAGTTCATATGCTTAATACCCAGTAGCAGAGAAGGAATATTCAAAGATTTAATGTTTTTTCAATATTTAATCAAAAGAACCCCGCCCTAACATCAGAACCCCTGACTCTGGGGCCATAAATTCACAATTTTGGTAGAGGCATTCTTGTTCATCATAACTATGTACTTAGTTACTTTATTTAATACTTTGGAGCAGAGAAGAAGATTTTCAAAGAATCCGTGTATTTTCACTATATAATCAAAACAGCCCCACCCTAACACCAGAACCCCTGACCCTGGGACCATAAAATTCACAATTTTTGAAAAGGCATTCTTGTTCATCATAACTATGTACTTAGTTACTTTATTTAATACTTTGGAGCAGAGAAGAAGATTTTCAAAGAATTAATGCATTTTCACTATATAATCAAAAGAGCCCCGTCCTAACACCAGAACCCCTGACCCTGGGGCCATAAAATTCACAATTTTAGAAGAGGCACTCTCGCTCATCATATCTATGTACTTAGTTAGTTTATATAATACCTACGAGCAGAGAAGAAGATTTTCAAAGAATTTGTGTATTTTCACTATATAATCAAAAGAGCCCCACCCTAACACCAGAACCCCTGACCCTGGGGCCATAAAATTCACAATTTTAGTAGAGGCACTCTTGCTCATCATATCTATGTACTTAGTTAGTTAATGTAATACCCAGGAGCAGAGAAGAAGATTTTCAAAGAAAAAATGCATTTTCACTATTTAATCAATAGAGCCCCCAACACCAGAACCCCTGACCCTGGGGCCATAAATTCACAATATTGAAAGAGGCACTCTTGCTCATCATAACTATGCACTTAGTTAATTTATTTCATACCTGGGAGCAGAGAAGAAGACTTTCAAAGAATTCGTGTATTTTCACTATATAATCAATAGAGCCCCACCCTAACACAAGAACCCCTGACCCTGGGGCCATAAAATTCACAATTTTGAAAGAGGCACTCTTGCTAATCATAACTATGTACCTAGTTAATTTATTTAATACCCAGGAGCAGAGAAGAAGATTTTCAAAGAAATGATGCATTTTCACTATATACTTATTTTGCCCCGCCCTAGCACAAGAACCCCTGACCCCAGGGCCATGAATTTCACAATTTTGGTAGAGGACTCAATGCTGATTACAATCATACAAACAGTTTGCCTGCTTGATGTCCAGGAGTAAAGAAGAAGATTTTTAAAGATTGAATTAATTTAAGTGGTTTTTGGCCCCACCCCCCAGGCCCCAGGGGGGCAGGGATCATGAAATTCACAACTTTTGTTCTCCTTCACCCATAGATGTTTTGTGCCAAATTTGGTTGAAATTGGTTCATTGGTTTCAGAGAATAAGCTGAAAATGTTCAAAAGTTTACGACGATTGACGACGAACGACGCACGACGGACGACGACGGACGAAAACAGATAGCAATAGGTCACCTGAGTGACTCAGGTGACTTAATAAAATAATATTACCAGTGGGTAGACAAATAATTGTTTTTTGTACATAACTATATTTTCCTTATAGTATTTGATTTACGGAACCACCAACCCTATTTAATATTCAAGTACTTATTATATAATTGTAATGTTTATCTTTAAATTTATTATTTTTTTCATTTTCTCAAGTTAAATAATCAATGCAAGAAATGTCATGTTTGTATTTATTGTCAGTAACAATAGATATTGCTACACTAGGTCTATTATTTATATAGAAATTAGAATTATTATTATATATACTAGACACGATTTCTTTGTAAAGATTACCCAGGCATGAATTGAAAACTACTTAATATGCTCATCTATTTTTAAAAATATGGTGTGTCTCGACCTTATTTGAATTGGAATTGATAACAAAATTTAAATTCATCTCATTTTTAAGTGTTAAAAATGTATCTCGCAGTCAATTGCAAGAGTATTCAAAAATCCTTAATTTTCCAATTTTCTCCTATTTTTACTGGTAATTTCATCTTCTGGAAAAATAGGAGTAGAGTTTTCAAGTCCTTTTATAAGCTAAGCTGGTACAAAACATTTATCTAATATTTTGCTATAATAACTTACCACATATATTTGATATTGGGTGAAAAAGCCAGCAGCTTTTCCAGCAGACATTTGGATCGTGACATCAGAACAATGTATAGTTTTCTTATGAAATACTGTATTGTGTCTGCTATAGAGACATATCTTTTAACTGGTTTGAAAGCATTTTCTTGACAATGGACATTTTGAAAAGATATCAAAAGATTTGACATAAATTCCCCATGAACTTAATTTTTCAGCCAGTGGAATTCTGTGTATTCTGCAAAGTAAAGTTAAATTAAATTAACTAAAACTTTTAATAATCTACTTTCGGCAAAATCTTACAATGAAATTAAATAGAAATTGATAGCGAGAAGTTTATTTTTAGAAACAAAAATTAAAATCATTGCAAATTAATCAGGTAGGTTTCAATCTTTACGATGATCCTCGTAGTCACGGACACCTGTCCGCACGTGTCACAAGTGGAGACTGTGTTTGTGTATTTTTTGTATATTTTATGTGATTTGGGAGGTTTTTCAGCCCAGGGGTGACAATTGGCTGTGTTTCACTGTGTATACACACCACTGACGTAACATCCGTACAAAAAGATTGCTGGTTTTCATTATAAAAAAACTGATTAAAACATTTTATAACTTGAGATAAATACTGATGAAAGTTACATGTTGAATGAGGTAATTTTTGTTTTCTTTTCTTTCTTTTTTTTTTGCGGGCAATACTGACTTAACGGGAAATTTCTTTACCCTTTAAAATTAATTTTTAAAAGCAATTTTTATCTGTATCTAATGAAAATTATTTCTGGTTTTTCTACTATAAAAAAAAAAAGAACTGAGGTTATATTACATTGTAATAATATCAGGTCCTGGCGTATCTAACATTTCCAAGCATTATTTGAATTATGTCTAAAGTACATGAAGAATATGATTGAATTCACTATCTGTGTGCGATTTTTTCTCAACTAAATAAATTTTATTATCATACTGATTAAGGTAATCTTCGTTACTGTTTGGATTGAATTTTACATTAAAATTTTTCGAAACATATTAACAAGAATATCTTAATTTGATACACAAAAAGAACTCGTCAAGTTTTCCACCCACGGATTATATAACTTCCTATATAATGTACCCCCTCCCCTGTTAAAGAATATCTTGACATCTTTTTTTTTATGTACTTCAACCCCGAAGTTCAATTTCTATAAAATATATCTATATTAATGAATTCGATAAACTATATGTGTAATGTTTTCATGGTGGTACAGTATTCATAGTATTTTGTGATTTTATGTCAAAGCCACAAAAATCTATCTAAGTCAAGATCAATAAATAATGTACACCGTCACTCATAGAAAAGGATTAAGTTATTGATGAGCTACATGTGGAGAGAAATACATAGATAATGTACATCGCAATACCGTACAATCATGCAAAATTTACTGCCTTCAAGAGAGTTAAGAAAATGGTTTCCAGTTTATTAATTTCTATCTCTAAATATCTAATACATTATCAGGAAAATACCCCCAACCCCCTCCTTAACACTATGTGTAAGTAAATTGCTTTGTATAAATTTATAGATTATCAGCATTATACATAATTAATTAATTGAAGAATTTACATTTGAACTCTCATTAATATGAAAGCTTTTCCCATGACAATTAGGCATAATAAAGATTGAGATGATTTTTTTAAGCATCCGCCAAATAAGCCTGTAAATATAAAAAAAACAGTTTGATAACCCGAAGGCTCTACATGTATTAAAGTCGGCCTGTGGGCGTGAACATACATAATTCACTAATTCTTTTCGACTGTTTAACATTGATATGTGTAACGTTAATTTTCTTTGCAAAAGAACTGTCTTTGTGCATTAAACCGGTGCCAGACAACTCACCGAAAGACAGGCCACCGACAAAAGTGAAATTCGCCGAATGGACAATTCACCGACAATATTGTCGGTGAGTAGAAATTCACGGACAACGTATAATAAATGTTAGATGTCATGTTAAGTATTCATATATATAATAAACATAATCAAAGATGTATAAAAAAGTTTTTCTTTGTCTTTTTGTATATCATTTAACTTTAAGTTCTATTAGGCAGCGCATGATATATACTTTGTGCGACTAGACTCGCGTCAATCGTGCAGTGCCCCCCCCCCCCCCCAGTCATTGAATAATACCGTTAGTAATTTTGGTCTGTTTTATGTGATATTATAATAAACAGGATATACAACTTATATGAAAATGCATGTGCGATACTTTATACTTCAATTCATCTATTACTTTTAAAATGCTATTTGTAGATGTGTCAGTGAACTTAAACGTGTTAAATATTTTCCATCTTTTACTCGATCTGTACATTACTCTGCTCAATGTATAAATCGAGAGTGAAATAAAATATAACAGCTGTGGTTTTTAGAACAAATGTATACCTGTTGATAAGGCCAGTAAAATGATAGGGTATTGTCAGAAATGAAACAATGTATTTATGTTTTACGCACATGTACATTATTTTTTTTTACTTGTCTCCTCAGTATGAACTACAGCATGTCATGGTCACATGAATCGTTGGCTTTTCCATGTTAAACACGTGATTGTCTGCAAGCATGGAATTAGGTGCTCGTGTACTTACTAACATGTCAGATGTCAGGGGGACATTTTTATTTCAAATTACCGCTTGGCTTGGTTTGAAAATATTTTATTGTTTAGTTGTTACAACAAAAGAATCGGACACAAGTTCTTAAAACTTAGAACATGCATCCTCTCTAACAGAAAAACATCTCCCAGGCAGAGTGTTTGCTAAATTATAATAGGTAACACTGTTATTACCTTGGAAATCTGTCTCGAAGTCTTACCTTGTGTATTTTTATTATACCGTTTGTGTACGAAGCGATGCATTGTGGGTCAAAATTACTGCGGCAAGAAATTTTATGATCTAGGCAAGTCAAAAAACTTGTTTTCAATGCCGATGGAATTCTCGCGGCGCTGCCCTACACTACACGGTCATTGAGAATAGAAGTGAGATACAGTTATTTGGACATTAGTTTTTTGACTTGCTTAGATAGCCGAGCGGTCTAGCGCGCTGTTCCTGCACTGCTAGGAGACAGATTCCGAAGGTCGAGAGTTCAACCCCGGGCTGGGGCGGAAGTGGGTATCCATGTAAGAGTGAATTTCTTTGTGCTTTCTATATTGATATTTCTTCACTTAGGGCAGTTATGTTAGTTTAAGAGTTGTTGTAAAACGTGCTTTATAAATAATAATTAATTTCATTACAACATGTATTGGTAACAATCCTCTGTTAAAACTAATGTCCAAATAACTGTATCTCACTTCTATTCTCAATGACCGTGTAGTGTAGGGCAGCGTCGGGAGAATTCCATCGGCATCGAAAGCAAGGTTTTTGACTTGCCTAGATAGCCGAGCGGTCTAGCGCGCTGTCCCTCCACTGCTAGGAGACAGATTCCGAAGGTCGAGAGTTCAACCCCAGGCTGGGGCGGAAGTGGGTATCCATGTAAAAGTGAATTTCTTTGTGCTTTCTATATATATATATATATATATATATATATGTACATGTTTCTATTAATATTCAAATTTGTTTGAAATAACAGACTAAATCTAAGTATATATATATATATATATATATTCAAAAAATTATTTTTCCTTGGTATAGGGATAAAATAAAATCCAAATTCAAATGATAAACTCAAACTTTTATCTAAAGCGCTTTCGCCCCATGCGGGCTCATCAGTAGATTTGAAATTGTAAACAAGTTACATTATGACGTCATTCTCGTGACGTTATGTAGGCAACGTTAAACATAATGATTGTGACGTAATAATAATCACAGTTAAATGAGGCGCACAGATATAGACTTTACCGTAAAGGCAGACATGACATGCGAGTCTAAAAACGTTATTTATTGTATTACATGTGCAGGATGTGGACAACTCTATATTGGGGAAACTGGAACCACACTACGTACACGTATCTGCATACACAAACAGCACATTAACCAACCTGAATACCGTAAAATAAATTTAAGCGGACATATTGATATTTGTGGCCGGGGACAATTTTCAGTTTTTCCGTTTTACCAACTTTATACAGACAATGTGGTGCAATGACGAGAAAAAGAGAAATACTTTATAAAACTGTTAAAACCATCACTAAATAGTTCACTTAAGACATTTTTATATTTTTGTAAAACACTGACATTTGTATGCAAACAATATGCTTATTTTCTTTTAACTCATGTAAAAGTTTCCTCTTTCAGTATTGTGACGTCATTGTATTGTTTTTGACGTTACCACCAGATAACGTTATTACGTCAAAAGTTTAAATTGTTTAAAACGTCTGAAGAAAACAATGAAAGTGCTTACGTTTTAACAAGTGTTGCCTTTTTATTTTATTTTATATATATATATATATATATATATATATATATATATATATATATATATATATATATATATATATATATATATATATATATATACACCAATTGCAATATTATATATATCTGTAAAAGTTTGTTTACTCATAAACTATCTTTAAGCAAATATTTTTTAAATATGCTGTGGATTGCGTGCAAGATTAATTACTGATTACTTACTTAATTAATTTAATAGGCACCAGAGAACAATGGCCCTGATTATTTGAAAACACTTTCTGTTGAAAAGAGGCACTATCTTCCATCAGCTCATACATTCCAAAGGAGAGTGTCTGAGAGAGGAACGAACGACAACTCTGCATGGGAGATTGGAGAGGAGGGTCCATGTTTTTGGTGATTTCACTTTAAAGACCCAAATTTCTGTGCTGTTCAAAAACATGCTAAATTATACCATGAAATGGTACCAAAAAATAATTAGTTGTTCAATTTTTGTACGGACTTGGACCTTGAGGTTTTCAATGCATTTTTTATATATCTACAACAAAAAGCTTCATCCATGCAGTATTTACATGATGAAAGAACAACATAAGTCCAAACATTTAATCTGGATGGCTAAGATGTGAAGAAAAAGCCTGGCATTACTGGAAAATTCATTCTGCGAGAGGAATAATGAATTGAAGCTGATAGTGA